TTTTTTGCGGAACTGGGGATTGAACTCAGAACCTTGCGCTTGCCAGGGAAGCACTTATTCCACTGAGCCATCTCCCCGGCCCCATCCCTGATTTTTTTTGTTAGTTCATTCTGTCACATGTGTAGTCTTGTCTCAATCAAGACTAAAGTTCTCTGTAACAAGACCTCTGCCTTAGATATGCCTTGACATTACTATAATTTCCTAGCATGATGGCCACACACCAAGTGCTCAATAAAATAACATGACTAACATGAAATATTTAACGAAAGTTCAAAATCAGCATGCTTGTAATGCATGTGCACCTAACAGCAAATACTTTGGATTTTTTAAATGCAAATTTGAAATGAACAATAGCGTTGAATAACAACTATACACACAAAACATTTTATGTCATTTCAAACTTGAAAGTTTCTTCCTAATTACACAAAATGCTTTCCTTTAAAATTACATAATTTCTGCCATAAACTTTCTAGTTACAAAACAAAAATTTAGCAGTAAAAAGATAAAACACATTTTAAAAGTTAAATCTAATATATATAGTTAAAGGCAATTTTATCATCATTTCTCTACCTTTTGGCTAAGATCAAGTATTTTTATCAGTTTAATAACTGGTTTATCAGTTTAATAACTCTAACTGAGGACAATATATTAAGTAGATTTACAGAGCTGGGAGATGGAATAGGAACTGTCTCCTTCCACTCACACATCGACCTGTTATTACAGTACCTCAAGGGCTAGACATTTTATCTATAGAATTCTACTTTTCTAACAACTGAACAGAAACATTCAAAAGCAGTCTCACTGTACATTTAATAATACATCTTTTTTTTAATGTATTTGATTGTTACAGGGTCTCACTATGCAACTCAGACTCATAGTGATCCTCTTTTTAGCCTCTGCAGCACTGGGATATGCACCACCATACCCAGACTAATAATACATCTTTTTGCTCAGCAAATTTCTAACATAAGGTTTCAGTATAATATAACCACAATTTTTATAGCACATACTGGATTTAATGAATAATATCAAAATTATGGAAATGCATATACAAAGTTCTCTCTTGACAAACATATCCCGCATAAGTCAAGTTTCTTACCTTTATTTCTAATGTCCCCCCAAAGCCCATTTTAAATTGTCCATGCATATCTTTGGTAAAGACTCTTTGAAAAGTTTGTTTGAATAAGGAAGTATTGAAAGAATCACCCATCACCATGTATCCTCTGCAGGGAAAGAACAAAACACAAGGTAGATGATACATGACACACTGGCCTAGCTCAGGTATTACCAGAAATGTAAATCACTTCTCAAAATATCAACAAATTTATAAAGATATTATCCAAAATGTGCTCTGTTATCATTAATTTTTAAAATATCCTCATTTTATAAACTCAACCTGAGGGTATATAAATGCTCCTACCACTAGCATCTGCTCTCAGTGATTTTTTAAAATTCTGCTTGAACAGCAATTCACACACACACCCTAAAATTCCAGAGGCACGAAAGGATGGATGGTAATGAACACATCTCTCCTATTCTTCCCTCCCAGTTTCCTGCTCCTGCCTCCCCACTCTCCATATTGGTGAATATACCTGATGCTACACAGCAGGCATTTCATTCTTAAAAACATGGTGGTTACATCTGTAACCAAGAAGAAATGTAGACAGTGCATATGTACATGAAGTGAAAATGTTCCTTAATGTCCCTCTGTTCTCATTCACTGGGTGTAGCACACACATTATGTACCACCCAGCATTCCAAGATTGAGGGAGGAAGACTATTGCAGGCTCAAGACCAGTCCAGGCTCTACAGTGAGTTCAAGGCCAGCCAGAAAAACACAGCAACACCCTATGTTAACCCTCCACAGGAAAGTGTACTTGTGGGTGATATATATATATATA